CAGTCCTGTCAGCTGAGTGCTGCTGAGGAAGCAGAAACTAATGGAATGGTTGGCAGCACCATTTTACACTGTAGCCCCAAGAGTGATCAAACAAAAGATTATTGCAGTCCAAGTGAAGTGAGCTGTTTTCTTGTGAGACTACAGGTTGCGCCACATGAATGATGGGAATTGTGTCTGCCACAGCAGATACAGGAGAACGTGGGTGGTAGAACAGGACTCAGTGCTTCTGACAAACCCTGTGCCAAAACCTGTTCATAGCCCTTTTGTGTATGTGCAATATCCCACTCTCTTACTAGAGTGATAAAGCTGCAGAGAAGTCCATCAGAGCCTCATTTCCAGCAGGGCTGGTTTCCTCATGCCCTGATCATGGTATGCTGGTCAACAGGTCGCAATGGGTGAGAGTTGTGTGTCTTTCATGCTATTGAACTTTTGTACCTTTGAGCTCCTCCTGAAAGTCTGTCCCTTGCAGGGTTCCCACTGGACCCCAGTTCACCTGTAGCATTCATAAAGCACTTACCCTATTACTTCAGCTATTCATATCAAAACTCTGGTATGTCTTGTCATGTCTCCAGTTTCTTCCTCCTTGGGTTCTGAGGTCTTCTTGGCACTCCCCTCAACCCACTATTGCTTATCCACTTTCCTCCATGCAGTTTGGTGTGACACCCAGGTGTAACAGCCTGATCCCAGCTGCCCTAACACTTGTAGTATTCATGCTCATTACAAATATGACCAAACCTCCATCACTCAGACTTGAAGCTTCTGGAGGTACCATTTCAGTATGGAGAATATATGTAAGACAAAGGGGAAAGATTAAGAAAAGAGATAGTGTGAAAAGTAAGGGAGGGAGGAAGGGGAGAAAGAAAATTTTTATCATGCCCAAATAAAAGTGAAAATGAAACAGGACAAAGGAAGGCAAATGGGTATTTTGGAAAGCCAAGAAGTCAATAGGAAAGAAGAGGTGGCAGGGAATGGAAAGAAGAAAAGAGAGAGGAAATCAGAAACAAAAGGGTAGTGGAGACAAGTATTTAAAATGAGCTAAAGGTATATCCCTCCTCTTCAAAGCAGTCTTGATAGGCTGTTCCCTTAAAACGAATAGCATGTAAAAATCCCTAATCCAGAAACCATGATGACATTAAACCCTACTGCTGAGATTCTGACCTCTCTGGGTTTACAGATGCCTGACATGCATGCTGTGAGTGCTTTCTAGCTCCCAGTAGTCCCTCAGCCCCTAGCAGTACAACTTTTCCTGTCAGCTTTCTCTCTCTCAGCTAATAATCTGTAAATTAGTTGTAAATATATGAAATGTTTTCTCAACTCCTATTTCCTTTCTTCTGCTGAGGTAATGGAGCATCCTTAGAGGCTGATAACTATCAGGTAAGGAGCAGCAAGTTTCTACATATTAACATGCACTTTTAAATCTTGAGCAATTGACAATTGTTTCTTTAATTTTGCAATTTCTGTTACTCAGATGGCTGACATCTGAAATTGTTCCAACCAGTCTTGAAAGTAAGCCATGCTCCAAGTTTCTCCTTGAGCTGCTGTTGTTTTGGTTTGATATCTACTTTGTAAACATGAGGTAGTTTATTTCCGAGATTTAAGAGATGATATGATATCCCAGAATTTATTACAGATTAAATGTTTTGGTCCCATGTGCGGAACAGTATTCAGAAAATCCTTTGTAGATCCTTAACAAATACCTTTTCTGGTCACTCTTAAGCTCTGGTCCATGACTGCTGCTTGTGCAGGAGGTAATTGCTTGTAACCTGCAGCTGGTCTGGGATGTGGGAGGAAGCACCGTACTGGTCATACTGCCCTCATGCTGGTTTCCAGCTCGTGAGGAGATGCTGAACTTGCATGTAGTCTGCAGAAATGTGGAGAGCGAACAGTGATTCAGAAAACTTTGGGAACCACTCTTCTAGTTTACTGCACTCCTGGGAAACCTTCTCCAAGTACAGAAAATGTCTCACAGTGAGACAACTCCAGGCACAGAGGACGTTCTCAGTGTATGGGTAACCACTGAGGACTGTACATTTGTAACATGCATAAAATCTGAGAGAGTTAATAAAATGAAGCATAAATCTCCACTTCAATTAGGCTGCTCTAAGACTGCTATGGTAAGTGCTGGGCTTTATCCAGTGTATCACAACTGTAACAGGAAATAAACATAGACAGGCATTTAGCTGTGAGCACAGTGATGTAAAAAGTCATTAATGATCCCTGTCTCTCCACTGGGAAAGTAATACCTGTCAGTATCAGAGCTGTGTACTAGTTATATCGTAGATGCATACAAACGCTGATGCATATATGTAATGGATATATTTTCTCAGTATGATCATCATGTCCTAACAGAAATATATGCCAGTACTTTTAAACTCTTTGGTTAAAGACTTGCTTTAAAATTAATTTCCCCAAAGATTCCTTGTTACCTGTGACAGGGATAAGATGACAGACATCAGTAGTGCCCCTGCCTCCTGTGAGTTTCCTCTCCTGCTCCACATCTCCTTCCTTCACTAACTGCACAAGTCATGGTGTAGGACACCGCTCTTCCTGTGGGAAGAGGACAAATCCAAGCCAGAATGCCCATCTGACTCTGCTCTCCAATGCTGTTTTTTATATAGCAGTACCTATATATGTAGACCTACATTCAGAGCTATGAACAGTGGTCACAGCCAGTCTTTGTGTTTCAGCTTGCCAGAATAACCCCAGGCTCATTTTGCCTGGCCTGTTCGAAGGCTAGGCAAGCATATACAGTTGCAAGGCAGTTAAGGGGAGGCTGGCCATCAGCAGTTTTGGTCCAGTCCAAGACTGTGATAAAAGAAATCATGAAGCTATATTTAAACATGTTGAAAAAATGTAAGTTTGTTAGGGAGCTCCATTTCTCCACAGCCTGTCTCTACAGTCAGATGTAACACAGGTACCTTTGCCAAGTGACTGATGCTTCTACAAACTGGCTTGCAGTGTGAATAAGAAACTTAAGTATTAGAGGGAGTACGAGGTCTAGCAAGCACTAAAGGACGAGAGTAGTGTGCTGTTTGCTGCCAGGGCAACTACAGTTAGATCTTTGAAGCAGATGGGTTATTTTGTTTCATCTATGCTTGAAGTACTTAAATATGAAATGTAAAGAAATAAAATAATTCCACTTGCAGCCTCTGCTTTTCATTCTATAAATTGAGACCATCCAGCTTCGTACATTCAGATTTAAAATTAGATAACACTAGTTCAGTTGTTAATGAGAGCCTTGTGGTTTTCTTTCTTTATGGCATTCCCTGTTGCTCAGGTGGGAGCAGAATACCTTGATTTAGCTGAAGGCCATACAGATCATTCCAGATAACCAAGTATGCATATAATGGAGAATGAACACTGCAGACATGGAAGCCTGTACACAGAGTCAGCCTGTTCTTTTCTACGTTTCCTTGAGGACAGGGAATCTCAATTTTCTTAAGATTCATGCACCTTAAGAGGGGTTTCTAGGTGAATATCATCACTTATGCTAATGGTCCTCTGAACTGATCAACCTTGGGAAAGCTGGCCTGCTCTAACAACAAGTATAATGGTATTTTTAGTGTACCGTGGCAGGTCTTCCAAGGTCAGACAGGTCTTTTTTTTCCCGATGAGGCTAAAAAAAAAAAAAAAAAGATTGTTCTCTAAATTAAGCTGCAAGAGGAGTTCTCCAGGATGCAGCTCTGAGTGTCCATGACCTGAGGCCAAAGGATGCTCTTGTACTGGTAGTGTGGGCAGAGCTACTTTTCATGCTGGAAATGCAGATGCTATGACACAGCCTACTGTTACTGGAGCTGATAGTTTGTTATTCATTTGTTTTTCTGTGTTTGAAGATCATAATTTCCACTGGGTATGCCTGGAGATGTTCATGTGCTCTTTTGTTCATGCTCTTTGGTTGAACAAAATCTCTGTGAAATTAATAAAACTAAACCACTGGAAACTATATTCCCTTCATCTTGACATGAGTTTCCTGCAGTTTCTGTGTAAAGTTCAATTGCCTTTCTCTGGAAAATGTACAAAAGCGTAACTCTTGTCTGCTTTGCACAGCTATTATATATTTCCTTGCCTTTTTTTTTTTTTTTTTTTTTTTTTTTTTTTTTTTTTTTTTTTTTTTGTCAAATTTACAGTACTGCCAGGTGCAGTAGTTGTTCTGGGTAATGCCTGTAGCCACAGGTATGGACCTCAACATCTCTACTACCCTCTGCAAATGTCCACCTCCTTCTCCCCTGACATTGTATTGCACATGATCTTGGTACTGTTACTCCATGCCTCTCACCTCCCCTACCTACAGCTCACCTCTGCAAACCAGAGACCCAGTCCTGTGCCCACACCTTGGCCTTGCTCCTCTGGGAAGAAGAACAGGAGCAGCCCAGGAGGAGCCGAGAGCTGCTGGTGCATGCAGTACCTGTCAGGTGGTGGGGGTGGCCCTTTCCAGGGGGGTTCCTGTGTGGCACAGGGCAGCACCTCTTTGCAGGCAGTGAGTTTGGATCACCCTGCCTATATGGATGCTTTGGTCAAAGTGGAGAGGTGTGCCTGCACGCAGGCAGGTCACTGGGAGTTATTTACACACAGGTTTTTTCCAGGGCTCAGTTTCCCACACACAGGAGCTGGCATCATCTCTGCTCAGGGCAGTCCCTGTGCCGCAGGTGGGGAAGAGCGGGGTTTGAAGGAGTAGACTTCAGCAGTGGTGCCCTCCATGCTTCTCTGCTTGGCAGGATGGGCCGGGGCTCTGCTCACCACAGAAGAAGGGTGGCAGCAGTGCAGGACCCAAGGGGCAAGCGCAGGCTGGGAAAGGTTCCCGACCAGAGGAAGGTACTGCATCCCTTTTGGGTGTTGTGCTTGCCCCATAAGATCCTTCCCTGAAGCAGTCATCCTTGGCGATCCACTGTCTTCGGCAATGGGAGGGGAGTCCTTTACTTATAGAGATGAGATGGGTGGGGCCTCAGGTCATTTTATAAAATAACTTGTCATTGACTCCTACAGAAGTAAATCCTGCAAACATGTCTCAGGAAGTGCTGCCCGTGGAGGTGCCAGAAATACTCTCTTACATGAATCCAGGGAAGGCCATGATGCTATCAAAAGCAACAGCACCACAGGTAAGAAAACAGCTTTAGAAGTTTGCTTAAGGTGCACTGTATTTGACAGAAAACAAATTCCTGCTTTGTGAGTGTGTTTATATACAAGCTACTGTACAAAGTTACTGTCTAATGGAGTTAGGCAGCAATGTCTCTGACTGAAGGAATTTAAGGTGAAATGTTCTCTTTGCGGCTACCAGTGGTAAAAGTCCTCCTAATTCCACTGGAGCCAAAGATCTCAGCTTGAAAGGCAAAATGAGAGAAGTTAGCATAGCAAGAGGACAGAAAAAGAAGAGTAAGTGGAAAAAAATGAACAAGGAAGGAAACAATTTTTAGGGGATTGAATAATCAGCCTGAATTCAGACCCAGCCTTAAAAAAATCTTTTTTCTTCCATAATTAAATGCTACTTTTATTAAAAGCTTAATATATAAGTACCAATAGCAAAATTTTGACATGCATATTAATGTGAAAAGCCCATTTTTTGTTATGGGAAGAGGGTTAAGGACAGGCTAGAGCGTAAGGATAGGGAATGGAATTCTATATTCCACATACTCATTCTTGTTCTGAATTTTCCATTTTACTTTTCATTCTCTGGGTCATTTCAACATTTGCATTTAATTTTAACTGGAGTATCTTATATGTTGTTCTGTCTGCTCTTTGACTGGATGAAGGCAGGTAGCTTTAGGAAGTACTCTGGAAGCAGAAACAGACTACTTTCAATAATATTTATAAGGACTGTCCTTTAATGGTGTTTTCCTGTAAAGAGTTCCAAAAGGGGGCATCTTACATTGTAAAAGTATTTTGGAAGTATATGTGCTGAACCATGTGGTGGTTTGTTCACTATGCTGAGCACTGTAACACAGCTGGGTGTAACCAACAGCTATTCTAACTGGGGTTTCCGCATAAGTTATTGCAAGTAGGAATTAATTAACTACCCTGATAATGCGGCTGTTGTTGTTTTAATGTTATCATTCGTTATTTCTTCCTTTCCTCAGGATGAAGATTCAGACATCAATTCCTTGGGAGATGGTGAACAGAAAGAAGAAAACGAAGGAAGTACTGTACCAGACAAAGGTGATTTCAAGGTATTATGAACAAGAGCACTTAGAACCAAGGAGGGCTGATGGTTTTGTTTTCCTCAAAAAAGGGAGAAGGCTCAGGTAGATAAATAATGATGGCAGCAGTTTGAGTGTTTCAAGGGAAACACCCTTAAATTTATTATTGTTTGTATCATTTTACTGTATCCACTTATGTTTATGATTTTCAGAATTGCTTGTTGTATTTCTCTTAAGTTTTATTGGGAGCATGCAGAATATCTACTGTTTTAATCACTTGCTTGTAAAAGAAATCCATTGGTGAGCTTTCTGCTTCACAATTATTTTTGTAAGGGCCAAAAGTAACAGTGATGCATATTCTGCTGTAATGGCTTTGGAAGTGCCATCTCTATCCTATCAGTTTAGGGGGGAGTCCTGGATTATTGAACCCTGATTTTCCATCTCTTCTGTGCTCCATTAGAAGAAAACTGTAACAGGGGATTCTGTGAAAGGAGTGATGCTTGAATGTGCTAGAGCTATTTCTTGTTTTTAAACATCAGTCGTAGGTTTATTTTTGTTACAAATAACTGATTTTGATAGGGGTCCTCATTCAGCCACTTTGTTATCTGTGCAGTAAGTACGGGCATTGTTTCCTATCTGTGAGGATTAGAGAACTGTGACTCGTATAACTGTGTTGTCCCAAGAAGCATCTACTTCCGAGGCAGATAGTTCTATGAAAATTTGCATTATAATCCATGCAGACAAGTTAAACTGAGTCAAAATGAAGCTGAAAAGGAACTTTATCTGGAAGTTGAAGTAATCCTGTAAACAGGCAGTCAGGTGAGTTTTGTGATAAGCTAGTTATCAGGTAGTCCTGGTACAACTCAGACACTGAGAAATGTAAACAAATTCTAGTTGACATTTACAGTATTTTTACTTTTTTACACACACTTTTCAAAGTTTAGCTTTCATGTTTGCCCAGTGTTAGGATTTTCATTTAAAAAGATTAAAAAATCAGTGGCATTAAAAGATTATACTGTATTTTCTCAGGATATATTCTATCAGTCCTGGGCATTTGTGGCATTTCATCTTGCAAATATTTAGCTTACAATATCTGGTACCTCCAGCCTGTGGAGATACCAAACTTCTGGACCATGCATAAGATAAAGAATTTTGTAGATAGTTAAAACAGGCTGAGAAACAATTAATTGCTCAGTCTTTGGTATAACGCCTGCTCCTTACAGGATGTAAGGAACCTAGAATTATGATGAGAGAAAGCAAAAAGATTTGATCTTCTGGGTTATAATTACCTATGATAATTACAGATACGACATGTAGCTTCTTGTCTCCATTTCTTAATCCCAGCAATGTGTTTGTTTTTCCATTATCTATTCAGGTTTAGATCAAAGACATTTAAGGGTCATGAAATTTCAAGGGGGCATGTATGTCAGTAATGGACCAAAAGAATAATTTTATGTGTGTGGGACCATAACCTTCTTCCAGACCACTATATTGCCCCTGTCTCTCACCTAAGGATTATATTTAACATTTCATAATTCCAAAAATTCATGACGATCCATTGGTGATGGACTGAGGAGTTGTTCTTGCATCTGGTTACAGTCACTGTTTTTCCTCTATGACCAGAACATAGCACTCTATCCTATGCACTTGCATGATCAGGACTTGACTACTGTAGCAAATCATGTGTTTATGTGAAGGACACATAAATGCTCTTATCTTCAGCTCAGTTTTTTTCAAATGTAAATTTTTAATCACTGAAACTACCAGAAGATTTAAATATGAGGCTCTCTGCCTGCTAAGAGGGATCATCTGTTAGAAGCATACCACAGCATATCCCAGCAACTGCATGTACCTTTAGGCCAGCATAACGATTTTTATCTTCATTAAGAAATCTATATTATTCAGGCCTTGGCTGGTCCTTTGCCCCATGCTAAAGCAGCAGGCAAAGCCAGCTCTGGTATTTCAGACAACAATGCTTATATTAAAATATTTAAGGATTGCAGCAGGTCTCATACAATAATTAGCATGAGGGAACGGGAGGGGAAAAATTGAATGCATAGCTCTGAATTCAGCATGAGCCATGTCTTAAAAACGGTAAGGTGCCTCATACCTCGGGTCAAGTGGTTCCTTATTTCCCTGCCAGGCAAGGGCTCCTTGCTCTTGCAGGGTTTGTGCAGCTGGGAGAACAGCAGTACTTGAACAGAAGAGGGGCAGGTTAAACCCTCACCCTTGTGCAGAGCAGGACCTCTGCTTCTGCTGGGTTTTGGAAGCTGGAAGCAGCTCCTGAGATCATGGGAACAGTGGGGAGCGGCCATGCTGCATGGTGAGCTTATGAGGAGGCTGCAGCTGCTGCCTCTGTTGGAGGTGGGACTCCAGCATGTGAGCCAGGAGCTGAGGCAGGCAGGTGGTACAGGTGTGGGGCCCCCGTCTCCCCCAGAGACAAGAGCCTGCTGTCAGGAGCAGCTCCAGCTTTGGCAGCAACTCCTGAGCCACCCCCAGCCCTGTGGTTCTTGCAGGAGTGTGGCACCAGCAGCGGCTCTGCTCAGCTGCAGAAGCTGTTCCGATCCCAGGTGCCTCACCCCGAGCGGTGGTATGGGGATGTCTGGGATGCCTAAAATGCAGAGTGCTGAAAGGAATGACATGCTCCAGCATGCCTCCCACTTCAAAAATGAACCTTGCAAGGTCAAAGGAGGCCACTTCCCATCAGCTCATAACTTTGAAATACGGTTTGTCTTATCCACATTTGACCTCAAAAATGTAAACCATCTGTGTCTAAGACAGACCTGTAGATTCCCTTGAGAATCAGTAGTCAGAAAAATAGAGATTTTCAGAGTATGATGCATGTCCTGTGGTAATGTCTACATTAGGATGAGACTCCAGAAATGCCTAACAGCTGTCAGATGTAAACACCTATTTTACAGCTATCTGGAATTAGGTGTGATGATTCTCAACACTCAGATGGTTAATGCTCACTCTAGTTTCTTTCTCTCATATTTGTTCTGGTTGGGAAGGGCAAAGCAACTCTGTCTTTTCATGAATTGACTATTCTATTCCCCTGGCTACAGTTCTACATATGGAAATAATTTTGAACAGGCAGTTGCATGCTCTGTGTTTTCAAATGGACCTTTTTTTTCAAAATCAGAAAAAATCCGGTTGTTAAACATACGGGAACGCTAAAAGATGCAAGACAATGTTAAAAGTACCGAAAGGGCTATGCAACTAGCCTGAGTTATCAGTCAAATAATAAATGTCTGCAGAAGTTGCTATTACTGTGCACTGAGAGTATCCATGTCGTGTCAATCAATATCTGAAGTTCTGCTTGTTGGAAATGTGTTTCAAGCACAGTATCATCTGCACAGTCTTATTCCTTGAACGTGTTCAGAGTCCCATGGTGGATGTATGTATGAGCAAGCAATGATCTGAAGGACAACCATCCTTGTGGCCTCGCATATACCTGTCATGCTCCTGTGGACACAGATAAGTTTTCCCAGATGGAACAAGGGTTACAGTGGCCATGTGCATGAAAGGGGTGTTTTCATCCAGCCGTGGGAGTTTTTGATTCACCGATATCCAGTGAAGATTTCTGCTAATTCTGGTGAAAAGGTGATCTGATTAGAAGAAGTTATGTTACTAATAAAACCCATGAAAGACACGGCTTGTAAAAACCAGCCGGTGACAGCAGCGGTCCTCGGCACCCCCCAGCCCCTGCCCAGCCCTGCAGCTTGGATGGAGCTGCCACAGCCCCAGCATCTGGAAGAGGCAAAGGAAGGAAGCAATTAGAGTGGCTGCTTTTCTGTCGTGGAGGCTGGCTTTGTCAAGAATGAGGAAGACCTTCGGAGACATGACTAAACACAGCAGCCAACCATGCTCAGCCCAAGCGGTGTGCCACAGTGGGGTCCCTGGCACATCCCACAGCAGTGGGAGACAGGCGCCAGGAGGCTGGGGCAGGGCTTGGCTGAGTGATGTCCACAGCCTGAAAGATCCCGATCACAACTTCAAAAATTTGAGGATGCACATTCTCTCAGACAGCTCAAGATAGGCACTTCACACACCACCAGCTCTAGAAACACCGTCAGCTGCAAAGTATTTTAGTTCTTTTGATTTGATCCCTTGCTACCATCTAGTTAAATTAGCACCTGGTGATGAAGAAAAGAGTGCCTTGGTGACATCCTGTGTGTGATTTCATCTCAGCAGAATGCTTCTCTGGGCCAGGAATGCGGGGGGACCTTAGTCAAGGCAGGGAAGCTATCTGTGCCAGGAAAGGCTGCTGTGCCAGTAGATGACATAGAAACAGATAGAGTTATTATTATCGGGTGACTGCAGGAAAAACGTGTGGGTGGAAAGGAAGCTCTTTTCATAGATAACACAATATTATTTTTCAGGTTGGCCTGCAGAAATGGCCTTTTTCAACTGCTGAAAAAGTAAACTGATTGTCTTCAAGGTAGTCTAAAATCTTGTCTGATCTTTGCGTGATGGCTTGTGGAATAGCATGCAGTGTGGTTGCACTGAAATGGGTAATGGTACCAGCATACTGTGGCATATAATTTTCGCTGCTTCCTCATCATAATGTTTCATCCAGCATGACAAAGGCCAGCTCTTCATGAGACTAGATGGAGGGCATTCCACATTTCATGTAGAGAAGCAACAGCTGAGCACCTGCTTGGAGGACAGTTGCTTTTTGGTGATAACAGTTTTCATCACACACATTGAAGATGAATTTAAATATTTCTGTATTATTTTTTCTGTTATTTTATGATTGTTTTGAAATAAATACCAATCTAAAAGGGGCAACAATCAAGTCTGAGAATGTGTTGGCTGGCCCTGCTGATTCAAGTGTAAATTCTCCTCTCTGGATCAGTGTCGTTGGGTGACTGCTCTCTGTTTTAGGAAGGTGGCTGCAACATTCTGTTACCTGATCAAACATGTATGAAAAACCAAGGAGATAACAATGAAAACCATAATATGCATTGACCCAACATTCATTTGGCTGTACTGGTGTGGAATCATGAGACTGGGGTAGTCTGCAGTAGGCATGGTGGAGTGGTGAATGTCCGTACCACTGGTACTGCAAGCCAGGAAGGTGTTGATAGCAATGAGGGAAGAGTCTGTTAGATGAAGAAGCCTAGAGGCTGAAGAAAGGTACTGAGAGAAAAGCAAGTAAAAAAAGGTAAATAGGCATATCCATCCTCTGGTCTCATGGACTCTTGTCTCATTGAGTACATTTTTGAGCTACACAGCCACTTGTGATGTGACAGGATGTATTAAGCAGCCAAAATAGTGGAGTAATTTACAGCAATGCTTCTTGAGATGGATACATACCACACATACCTACATCTGAATATAAGTGACTTTAAAGAGGGCTGGGACAGACCTACAGAGGCACAAATCTGCCAGGAATGCAGACAGCCTGCATCACCAGAGCGCTCACGACAGAGAAATTTCTGTTTTCAAATTCTTACCCACCCCCGGGTGGGAGAAAGTTGGAATCATTCACATGACAGAGAAATCCTTTACTCCCACCAACATAGTAATTTGGTGCCGAGTATCATACCGTATTTGTTTGTTTTGTTCTTTTTTTTTAATGGGAAGTGATGGAAAATTGGATGAAGAGACTATGAGATCTGCTCTATGTTTGATGGAGCTGTTGTGTGGAAAATCCCAATAAACTTTGTTTCCCTGGGAGTACAGAGAAAATAGCGGAGTACACCCTGCTTGCGCACTGTCATTGCAGCATGCTATATTGCAGACATCTATGCTATACACATGTGTACATGAAGCATGTGGGAGCACAATTTGGGAAGCACCAAACTGAAGACAAACCAACAGATAGACAATCAGTGAAACAGTCACAGAGTGACCACACCAATCTTGATTTTATCAAAAGCAAAGCTACAATGTGACAGTGCTAAACAGTTGTTGTAGTATGTCCTTGTTAGCCCAAGGGCAAGACATTGCTTGGGGTCTTCCACCACAAAAGGTGGAAACACTTCCGTATGTGGAACATCATGACACAGCAGCAGCCTTTTTTTTTTTTTTTTTTTTTTTTTTTTT